TGACCAATAAACATTACCTGTAGAAATTTATCCTAACCTATACGCACATGTAGAATTTGAAGTGAAATGCACCATGTTATTCATGGCAGGCTTTCGGAGGAACAAGAGGGCTGGAAACAACCCAAACATCCATTCAGTGGGTCTGGTTGTGGAGGATCGCCTGATACTCAAGGGAAGAATGAGGCTCCTTCCGTATTGGTGGGAAAAGCTATCTAAAATCTATCATGCAATTAAAACGAAGTCTAGCAGCAGAACATTCTGTACACAGGTCAGTATTTGCAGAAAAGGTGAGAATGCTATTTTCTCATTTCTTATCTCCACACCATCTCTCTGTGGAAGGGAAGGGGAACTGGAACCAAGGGGTCAGGGTTCACTGAGCTGAACCTCTCAAAACATGGAACTGTTCATTCAGAACACAGAATTACATCCTGCGTGTTGCATTGGCATTTGCCTATGTCAGTCTTGTTTCAGATTTTCGGGCTGTTTTGTCTTTTCTGTTTAGGATGTTTGCTTGCTATTCCACCCTATTTCCCCTTTCCTTACATGGACGCGGTTTTGTTACTTTCGGAGATTATTCTTCCCATCTGTTTCTCTAATCACTATTGTAGTCTGTCAGCAAGCATGGAATAGTGGAGAGATGTGCTGTGCAGGGTCTGAAGTTGTCCTCTCCCAGCAGGAGTTCCAGAGTCAGGGCTCTGGGCCTCTATCACTTGGGGAGTGGGCCACTGCAGAACACTCTTCCTGGTTCCACATCGTGCTCCCTCCCCAAAGCAGCCAACCTCACAACTGGTTGAAGGTAGCAATATGAAGGCCTGGTTCCTTCACCCCCAACTCTGCAATGCCATCGCAGCTCCAGAGCACCCCACAGACACACGGAGGCTCTGTTGCACCCACGACACAGCCCCTCTCCCTGGGTCCCATTTTTGCTCCACTCATGGCCACAGGTTCTGATTCAAGTTTCCTGCATGCAAATCTCCAGCATGGAGTGTTTCCTAGGGGCCTGCCTTCTCCAAAGCTTACCTCCTAAACGCCAGCACACACAATGGAACAATGCGAATGTGGAAGACACCACCACAGAAAGGCGTATGGTTGCCTTGCTTCTGGCGGTATCCCATTGGCACACTCTCTGGACCCTTTACACACTTTTGATGTTGTCATTGTTGAAAACTGGTTGAAACGTTTAGAGATCTTTTTATTGGCAAATACTATTTCTTGTAACAAAACTCCATTTGGAAGAACAAATATTTGCTTTTACTACAAAAAGTGGTCATTGTGACCCAACAATCTTGGAAATAACCCAGGCACTTACATACTTTTAACATGGGGCCAATGGCTTCCAGTTTTTATCAATTTTTCATTTATAAATAAATGAAAGCTTTGAGGATGGGAGACCTAAGTAGCAGAAATTAGTGTATAGGGTTAAAAAGTGGCTGTTAGGCAATTCCCTATTCCCTGCTGCGGCCAGGTCCTGGGCTGTTCCACCACTGACAGCTTAGCTGTCACCTGAAACATCCCCTCCCCAGGAGATAAAAAGAAATTAGAGGCTGGGAGTGGCTCAAGTGGTAAGTGCCTGCCTCGCAAGCATGAAGCCCTGAGTTCAAACGCAGTGCTGCCGAAAAGCAATGAGAACAAGAATGTGTGAATCGCACGGGGCTACTTGGTTCTTGGGGCTTCGATCTGGTAACGGACTGCATCAGACACCGTAAGAACCAAGGACTTTGCAGTGGCAGAATGTATGAACAGAGATGATTTAATCTCTATATCCTTCACCCACCTCAACCTTGGCCGCCCTAACCAAAAGAGAAGCAGATTATCAGTGAACACAGTGTCTTAGCAAATCCCCTCTTCCAAATCAGCCTCAGCCTTGAAATGCTTGCTGCCAGGTGCTGTTCTCAGCATGCCAGTGTGGCAGCCAGCCACTGTGCCCCTCAGTGGGACTGCTGCTATGCCCATATAACAGTCAAGGAAATGGAGGCCAGAACTGAGCAATTCAGTCAGCCTGCTGTGGCTCTGTAACAAATTACCCCAGAGCTCAGGGGCTTGAGGATCATTATCTGTTTCTGTGGGTCAGGAAAGCTGACATGACTTAGCTGACATTCTGCTTCTCATCCGCCTCCGAGGCTGTGGTCAGTTCACAGATCCTCACAGCGCTGTCGGCAGGATTCAGTTCCTCAGGTGTGGTGGGGCTGAGGGCCTCAGCTCCATGCCTCCCCAACAGGGCGTCCTGCTCCATGGCAGCAACACATTCACACACGGGTGTACACAGCAGACCTGTGGAAATTCTTGGGGGCCCACGTGCACGGCTCTGGCCACTTGTATCTCAGAAGTGTACCCACCAACTAAATCACTTATGCACAATGTGCTGAACACACTTGCCTCCTCACGGGAGTCTGGAAATTGGAATGTACCAGACAGAAGGTGGCTATGTGAGCCCAGTAAAAACCCTGGGCAGAGTCCCTGCTGAGTCTCCCTAGAAGACACTGCTCCATGCTGTCACAACTCTCTGCATGAAGTGAATCTTGTGTGACTCCACAGAAGACTCTTGGAAGCTCACACCTGCTCTCTTCTGGACGTCACCAGGGGCCTTCCCTTTGCTGTGTGCAGACCTTTCACTATAATAAATCATAGCTGTGAAGATGACTACATGTAAGTCCTGGGAGTCCTCATAGAGAATCATCAAATTTAACAGTGCCCTCAGGGGTTCAACACAGGAAGAGGGAGAGTGCTATGAGCAAGATGGAAACCATCTTTCATAACCACATCCTGGATGTCACAACCAACACTGTCATCCCCTGCATTAGGAACAAGTCACTAGGTGCAGCTCCACTAAGAACGTACAAGGGCATGAATCCTACCGCTGGTGATCAAGAAGGGGACCAATGCTGAAGCACAAAGATCAACATGGAAGCACCCATACTTCATACCAAAATTGCTAACTACTCCCCAACGTGAGCAAGAACAGTTGACGGCTTTGTGCTCCATTTCCCAGAAAGTGCTGCAAGAGTCCTACTCTCTTGAGATGAAATGTATTTTAGACATTCCAGAGGTTAGGAATATTATGAAGAACCTTGTCCTTTGGACTCACATATGCATCTCTTGTGCACCATGTATTCATTTAATCATTCACTTATCAATTTATTGAACTATCTACAGTCCCCATGGATCAATATTTAAAATCTACTGGCCTCAGTCTCAGCATTGTTAGCTTATAAATCCTTCCAGGTATTTTACTGACTTCCTCTTCTTTGCACAAACAGAAGCAGAGGGAACAGTTCCCTGCCCCTTGCATCTCCCTGGCTTTCTCAATGTTCCTATTCTCAAGAACACTGAGCCACTTCAACTCCTTGATGCCGCAGCATTCCGCTTGGTGGCTGCACCAAGTGTTGCCGGAGCCTAGGTCACATGTGGCCTTTCTGGTTGGCTTTGTAGACAGAGTATTCTACACACCTGCAGGTCTGTGAAGTATTCAAAGTTAGGCACCTGTGTCATTCTTTCCTTAGGGGATAAAATTTTATTCGTGAACAACAGGTCCTAAGTGAAAAGTTCAGGTTACTTATTCTCCACCCAGGAGGCAAGCGCAGTTCCCAATCCATCAGGCTGCCCCACTGAGGCCTTTCGGAAAGACAAGAGTACTGGTGCCGGGGCAAGAAGTCCTTCTCCAGACAGATCTTTTCTTCCACCACAAGCTTTTTGGTGATGAGAACTCCCTCACCAAGATGCTGATTATAATTACACACAAAAGACTCTTCAGTGTGAGCAATCATGTCAGAAACATCCTCCTTTTCTAAACTGCACATATATGCCCGGGATTTGAGGGAAGTGTAGCCTGAGGACTGTCATTGACCCCTGCACCAGTGTGGCACCCAGGTCCAACACCACCCCAGTCTAAGGACTCAGCCAGCAAGGGTCACAAGGCAAGTTCTGTCTGCTGAGAAGGTCTCTGAAAAGTGACATCTCTTAGTAATGAACACACCTGCTACCAGATGTGGTTTTGACCTCCAAGCTCCACTAACAGCCAGTGCACCAGGGTTTTTCTTGCTGTGCCAGAAAGTAGGATGCGGCATATAAAAAATTGGTCCCCAGTAGAAGCAGCTTTTAATGGTCAATTCTGGGACAATTTAAGCATCAAAGTAACTGACAGTAACAGACTAGAACTGACTGAATAATGTAGAATCCTTGAATCCATAGCGACAAAAAATAAACAAAGCAATAGAGGCAGGTGAGAGCACGCTGAGGATGAACAACTTGAAGTACCTCTCTGCAAGGTACCTGCCAGTGTTTTAGTGGGCAAGCCAGCAGGCAGTCACCTACCTAACCAGCACAGCTTACACTACAACCATAGGAGACAAACACCACAGTGAGCTGAGTGCCTTGCTACAACGGAAACACACCATGTGTGTACTCTTGTCAAAAGTGCATGAATCGTGAAGACAACAAACAAACCCAAACCAAAGGACATCCTACAAAGTAACCAACGCATCCAGCAAAACTATGTCCTTTACAAGACACCAAGCACAGTGAGCTGGAGGAGGTGGCCAGGGCACTGGCTGATGGTGTCTCTGGGCCTGCTGCACTTTGCTGCACTGGCTTTGGCTCAGTGGTGATCTCGTGTCAACATCACGCTTGTGATTAAGATCTGTTTTTAGGAAAGATGGGGAGATGCAGTATAGATTGATGGAATGCATCCACAACTGACTCTCAGATGGTTCAGAGAAAAGTGGGTCACACACACAAAAGAAACAGGAAAACAGTACCAGAAATGTGGAAAAATGTGAACCAGACAACTCAGATGAAGCATAAACACTGCATTTCAAAACAGAGACTCGGAGACAAATGAACCCAATGCAATGTGAGGCCTGTATTTGTACAAACCAGTAACAGGAAGTCAACAGACAAATGTGAGTGTGAAGCTGTCTGGGTTTGGTGGGAAGATGCTGAGACACTCCTCCTCTTTGGAAATGTTCACAGGTAGAATGCTGTGATTTGGAGAAGAGATAAAGTAGGGCTCAAGGTGGACAGCTAGTAACTGCTGAAACCAGGCCACAGGACTCAGAGCCTCAGCACCCCACTCTACTGCACTTCTAAAATCACCTGTCTTAATAAGCTGCATCACTGCCACCCATATTCGATTTGTACATGCACGGGCCTGGCCGCACCAACTACAGATTCTCTGCCAGAGCCACAACCTCATCACACCTGTCCTAGCGTGCTGTGGAAGGGAAGAGCCTCACCAGCTGTCCACGATACTGGCTGACAAATGGACAGCAAGAAGCCTCTCTACAATTCCTTTTACTGGCAAGGACAAGAGGGCTTTGGTTCTACCATGTCCATTTACAAACATATTTCTTCTTTCTGCTTCACAAGACCAAAAGCAAGAATCACATGCATACATATATCATTAACTGCTCTTTATTTAATCATTCTGAGGATCCTTGACCCCATTTAAAAATAAACACTGAGCAACACCCCCTGCATAAAAAAGCACATCAAAGCCCCCCATCACAATTCCCAACAGAACTCATACTCAGAAAGTTTATTTCACCCTTTATTCAAAAGGCACTTGAGGCCTCACATGTCAACTCCACTACTCGTTACTGCTGCAAAGCCAACTTGCAATTCAAAATCATTCTTAAAGCTTACAGTACAGTTCCCTAAGACTTCATAAGGAGTTGTCCTTTAAATAATTATTTTAAAAAGACTGGACCTTGAGATTAATACAGAACAAACGGATCTGAACTTTCTGCAAGGACAGCATTCTTTCCTGACAGAAGGACAATGTTATGGTGAAAGTCTGTTGCTTTAAAAATATATACTTTACAGCTCAGGAGGTTCTGAATTTGGCTTCTGACATCAAGGGCCAGCGGGGGCCGGTTTAGTGAGAGGTGTCCTCACCGGGGTGGCTCGGCTGCAGTTGGGTCACAGCCTGGGGTGGTATCCAGGATTTCAGCCTCTTCTGCTCTTGGCTCAGTACTCTCCTGGTCCTCTCGCTGTGCAGAACCAACCTTGCTCTCATTGGTAAGAATGACCCCTTCTTTCTTCTTCTCTCCCAACACCTCCAGCCCCATCATCCTCAAGTAATGAAGCCGCTCATTCTTGGGCACAAAAGTTCGAATGGAGGCCTTTCCCCGCCATCCACACAGCACAATGGGACACTGAAGAGCATCTGGATTCCTACAAACAAAGATGGTGTCACAGAAACATTAAACATTCTCATAACTACGTCAAAAGAGAATGATGGGTACCGCTCAAAACCATCCCTCAAACTACTGGGCGTTTGAGTGTGCTCTCCATGATCTTATGGAGCACCATGTCCCAAGAATCCAGCTTTCCAGCATTCAGGAGTCATCACCTCCAGACTTCATTCACACAGTTGGTGTTGGCATCCTAATCCTTTCTTCTCTTACATTCAAAGTCCCACCTGTGCTACTGTGTCGTGAATAAAAAGCACCTCTTATCCTGCCCTCATGGTTCACCTTGCAGTGCCACACAGGAGCAAACTGCAGCTCCTTGGAGACTGGGGATTCTGCCACTCAGTAGGTGGCAGGTCTGGGAACAGGATACCCTTTCTTTGCCTCCTCAATGCTCCAAACAGTGTGATCTGTGTCTAGTGACCCTGACCACGAATGGAGCCCTGCCTGGCAGGCTGTGCACTTTTCTTCTCCCACTAGGCAGTGTCACTGGTGTTGCATGCTCCATTCCATGCACAGCCTCACATACAGGCTGCTCCTGGGTGCCTGGGGGGCCAGCACTTCGCCTTTCCCTGTCGCCTGTCTCCTACCAACACTGCTCACAGTGCCATTTTCTTTCTCCAGAGATGCGTGTGGTTTAGCCTTTAGGTCCCTAGAGGCCCTGTTTAATTAAGCACATGGAGCACCAGTGACACAGGCTGAGGAAGGAGTGCAGGAGACTTCTAATATGTTTTGTTAAAAAACAGAGAAGGGTCTGAAAAAGATGTGCTAAAAAGCCACATTGGCTTTCCATTTTTCCCTAGTATAAAAATAAAGCATGGACAATAAGTTCATAAAAAGTGAGAGGAAAATGCAGGAAATTCGCAGACTACACCTTAAAAATAAATAAATAAGCCTAATAATTTATTCCCGAAGCTGTCTTTCTCGTGAATCCAAGTTTACACCAGGGCATTCTTTCCCCTGAATTCCTAACACCTCTCTTGAGTGGCTGACCCTAAAGTCCATCTTCACGTCCATTCAAGCATCTTAATTCAAATACGTTAATTCTTCCCTTGATTTCTGTTTTAGGAGAGGACAACTGATCAACTCAAAACCCAGAAGCCGTCATGAGTGCTCCTGCATGTCACTGCCACACAGTCCATCTCAACCAGGCCCCAATGGAGCCACTGCATGGCACAACCAGTGTCCAGCCCTTGGTCATCTCCATCCACTTCCCAGCTGACCTGTTTGTTGCTCTTCTTGCCCCACTCCACACCCTCTCCTCTTTCCCCTCCACTCCCCCCAAACACACCTCCATGCTCCTAGAGTGCATGCCCTACACAGCAGAGACCATCAGAAACCCAGGGACATACAACACCGAAGCCCACAGAGGGGGTTCAGATACCCACCCTCTACCCGGAGCTTCCCTCCAGCCCTTCCCTCTAGCCCTTCATACCACTGGTTCAATACTGACTTCCCAAGAAATGAAACTTTGGCTCTACCTAGCCACTCCCCAATCCCACTTAGTCCCATACCCTATTTCACCTCCTCTTGCAAATGGCATTTTATTTACAAATAGGTTACTGCTAGAGGTGAGGCTGATTCCTCCACTCACTAGTTGGAGAGTTCTGGATAAGCAACCGGATTTGGTCCTGGTTCCCACACCTGGCAAGCAATACTAATACCAGGATCCCATCCCTATCCTCAACCCAGATGAATATGTGTGAGCACCAGAGGCTCCAGGGACACGATAAATGCCCCAACAGGCTCATCCTTTCTGTGTCTTCCTTAGCACTGGATCAACACCTGATGCATTGCAGATCAAACACCCTAGCTGAATCAATGAGGAAAAAGGACTCAACCTCATCTACCTGACCAAGGTTACAATATTCTGTACCATCAATTTTTAATGTACAGAGAGTAAGTACCAAGCATTTTATTCTCCATAACTATAAGTATGCTTGTTTGTCTTGGCTGACTTCTACAATGAAGTATCTTCACAATGATCTACAAGAATACTACTTTAGTTCTGAAGCTTTCAGGAGCCTCCTTTTAATGGAACATTCTTAACAGGCAACAGGTCAAGAAGGTTCCCACCACTCAACATTCCCTTCACCCGCAAGGACAAGGACACAACACATCCCACGGCAAGGTGTGGACAACTTACGAGGAATCTGGTTCATACTTCAGCACGACACTTCCCTTCACTGCAGAGAAAGATAGGTGTTTTTCAGTTAGTAGTCACAACTGTTGACACATTGTGTGTTGTTCTGTTGTTCTCAAGGATCCAAGTGGAAGAAAGGTCTTGTGAACACATGTAGCTGAGCTTAAGTGATGCAGCAAGGACTAAGGCAGAAGCCTGAGGCAAACCACATGTGTACCTACAGTGACACAACTCAGCAAGAGCCTTGCAGGAGCAGAGATTAATTCAAGATTGGATAAAGGAGAGCTCCAACTCCTAGAAAGAGCAGGAGGTAACACATAAAAATTATCAAGAAAACATACTACAATCACCTAACTATAGAACTAAAAGAAAAAAGACAATTCTCTTATCTTTTACACTAATTTCCTTTGAACTGTGGTTCTTGCCTGGAGACAGCAGGAAGTAGTAGACTCAAGAGTATTTTGCACTCTGCAGGCAGAAATGACTCTACAAGCCAAGGTCTGATTGTGCAGTTTCCACCAAACTAAGCCAGACACACTGAACAACCAGTTGGAAAAAAAAAAAGAAAAAAGAATGAAAACAAAGGAAAAAATTACAATGCAATAGCACAGCAAAATTACTTTTGTGCTCAGGGGAAAATGTCACTAGGGTGGCCTAAAGAGGAAGTTAAAATATATAAAATATAATAAATATGAAATATAGTAATATAAAATAATAACAATGATATAAAATATAAATATAATCAACAAATAAAATATAAAGCTAAGGGAGAGCAATGGAAGGGGTTGAACAAACCAAAGTGGACTCATGGCAGGGAAGAGTGAGAAGCCCCTTGGAACAATGACTTAAATATTAATAACAAAGACAGGACTAAAAATAAGTACAGTGTGTGTGTTGGGGGTGGTACCTGTGGGGGGGGAGAGGGTGAATGGAGGAGATGAAGGTAAGGGAGTATGGTGGATGGACTCCATATACTTGCATGAAACAGAACAAAGAAATCTCTTGCAATTGCTTTAAGTGGGGGCAGGAAAGAAGTAGATGGGGAGAGATGATGGGGGTGGATCTAACCAATGGACACTATAAGCCTATTTAGAATTGTCACAATGAATCTCCCTGTACAACATATATATCCTAATTAAAAAAAAAATAACAAGAGCAAAATATGTATATATATATACATGTATGTGTGTTTTGTATACACACGCACACATATATATACATACATACATACATACATACATACAAAACCAACAATAAACCAGTAATTTTGGCTGGCTACCAGAACTTTAACAAGGTTGGCTAAGATGTCAAGTAAACCAGATACTTTATTAGCTGGTCTCATGTGCCTTGTAACAGGTGAACCCAAGCCCGACAGACCTCTTTCCATCTCTAGTAGCAGTTGACCAGTAGAGGGTCAAGAGGGCTGGCTTATGGGCTATCTAGCCAGGTTCTGCAGAGATTCTCTCCAGCTCAGCATGGTCACCAAGTGGCTCAAGAGGACAACCCAAATGCCTCAGACTTAGCATGAGCTGGTGGGTGGCACCAGGGGCTCCAGGGCCAAGAGAGCAGAGCAACTCCCAAATAAGGAATTTGATCCTTCACACTTTCAATTAGCTTCTGCAGAGCCCTCTGGTGTTTATAACATAGTCAGTAAAGAGAGCCACGACACACAGCCGTCCCTTGGCATACATGCGGGACGGATTCCAGGACCCACACAGACACCAATATGCTTGGAGGCTCAAATGCTTTATAGAAGCACGGAAACCACCCACATTCCCCCATATCCTTCAACCATCCTGCTGTGTATACTTGCAAATACAATGCAGATGCCACATGAACAGTTGTGATACCGTATTTAGGGAACGATGACAAGTTCAATTGTCCATGCTCAGGACAGACACAATTTTTTCCCTGAGTATTTTTAATCCATGACCGGCTGAATCTGAGGATGTGGAAGCCACACTCAGAAAAAGGACTGGTTATAATGATATGATTCGAAACCATGCTCCCCACCCCCAGCCCAAAGCAGAACTACCTGTATTTCTGCTGTTCTTATAAAGAGAATACAAGTTATGCCCTTTGGCAATTCAAACCACTTACCCAGGTCCTTGGCTTGACTGTACGTATCACTGCTGAGTTTTCTAAAAAACGGGTTTTCCTGGGTCAACAGTATCTTCACATCTTCCATGGATACAGTAATAATTCTTGAATTAATGAATGGATACAATGTATATATTCCCTGTGGGAACAGACAGAGATCACTGAGAGGCCTGCCACCCATAAATGCCAATAATCACCTACACTCAGGGCTTTCCTGCATAGGGTACGGCTCTCACCATGACCCCAGGAAAATGCCAAGTTTCCACAGGAGGAAAGCCAAGTCTTCGGAGCTCAATAACCCTCAAGGGTCCAAAGCTGGTAGGCACTAGTCAGGCTCTGAAATACTTGGACCCTGCTGGCTGGCCAGAAAGCCCCAAACATTAACCCAGGGCTGGAGCTTTGAAATCCTTCAAGATTACCTCCTGTGCCAATCGGAAAGCACAATCGAAGTCTTCACCACTGTTATTTCGACACCAAACTTTTATCCCCGTGTTAATAACCTGTAAGCAGGAAAACGAGACAAACAAGCAAATTCAGGATAACCATTAGAATAATCCCTTCTACAAGGCAGCAAGGCTGTATGTGAACAGCTGCAGAAGAAGGGGAAGGAGAAACAGCTGCTCACTACAGACGGTTTTCAAGAACTGATGGACAGTCACAGATGGCTTCTGTGTACACAGCTCTGGTGACAAATAATTACCAGAACAGAAATTATAACTGGTACACTTAGAAAACACTAGAAAACAGGTCAGCACATATTCTACCATCCATCAAGGCAAGGTGACGTCACAGGGTGCCCTGCAGCCCTGTAGATGCTGGAGAGAATGAGTGAGGCAGATCGCGTCTCAGTCATGAAAACACGTGTGAACAAGTGGACCCTCTGAGCATTCTTGGTGATGTGCTGCAGTACACGAATGGGCAGAGGAAAACAGATGCAGGAGGTAAGAAAGCAAATGAAAAAGGACCTAAAACGACAAGAGGACAAAGCACAAAGCCCCCAAGGGACAGCAGGAACAGCTCCAGGATGCGGCCAATGGCTCTGAAGGCAGAGGCAGGCATGGGGCCTCAGCCTGTGCTCCACAGGGACACAGTGGCACCAGCCTCTGCCCCTCCCCAAATCAGCCCAAACACCAGTCCCGAGTCTGCGTTAGGCTAAAACCTTCATCCTCTCGCTGTTGTTTAGCAGCACGTTCCGCAGCTCCTTAGAAACCATGTAGAGCTGCCTTTTCTTCCCTTCTGTGGTTCGAGTTAACAAATTCATCCTTGGGAATGAAGGATCCAAAGCATAAAACTTCCTGTAAAAAAGTAATGCTGTTTATGCTTCAGCTCGAAATTCAGTACTCTGTGTCTAAGCTGCTTTCTCTCTCCTACAAAACCCAACTTCTACAGCTGTAGGGTTGTTCCTGAACATTCGAGTGATGCCTGTGACTTCCTCCTACCTGCTTTACTTTCTCCACCTCACCTGAAACCACCAGGCCAGATTCAGTTGGGCTCAACTAGATCAGGAGCCTCTGTTACCAAGAGCATCTTCTTTCTCAACTGCTCCAATGACAAGGGCTAGAGATACAGACTTTTACACATTTATCCAAAGGACCAGTCATCCAAAAGGCAGTATGTATGGCCACTCTGGTGACAACACCCTGACATTTGATGAGTGAGAAACAGGTAAACCGGGCACTTTTCCACTGCTCCTATTCAGGGTTCTCCCACCCCCAACTCAGACCTACTCTTCTTCATTTCCTCAGTAAGAACTGAGCGAGGCAACCTTGACCACTAACTCTACATTCAACTGAGAGCTACGCTTGGGATCACAACTTAGTAACTTACACTGAGAATCACAGTTGAGTATTCTCGCCTCTCCATCATCTTTACCTTCAACCAGTTTACTTTCTCTTTGTTTGGAAGGTTGGAAAAACCTCTCTCAAGTTTTACCCAGCTCTAACACACCATTAAAAATAGAAAAGCAAGCTACAAAAGCAAGCTAACTACAAAATAGTCAAATGTGACTAGTTGTGCATTTATTACTCTGAAATAAAACATTTTTGAATGACAAATTAAAAGGGATGAATTAATTCTTACTCAATAGGTGGAAACAATGGATCATCTTCAGGAATAAATACAAACGGATCTTCTTTAAATCCAAATAACTTCATTTTCTTTGATGGAGGAGGACTAAAAAGGGCATCAGTATGCAACAGTCAGTTAGTACCACAGGCAGGAATGTACCATACCAAAAGCACACTCCCACCCTTCCCCCATGCGGATGAGGAAGCCTTCCTTCTAAATGGACAGACAGGGCACAGCACATTTCCTGCCCTTAATGCTACTCCCAGCACAAGCCACATCCTCATTCCCCAATGCAAAATCACTATGGCAAAGGCTTTGGGGTCTCCTTTGATCTAACAGGGCAGTGAAGACAACAGATCACCAGAATCAGACATAACTTCTCCTTACCCACACACGCCATCTTTCTTATTTTCATTATTCTCTAGGCTCTCAGTTGTCTGAGTGATTTCTGTGTCACCAGTTCCGGTGACTGACTGACTTTCCACCTCGCAGGAGTCTATGGGTCTCTCTTGTACGGGAGCTGCAGGGCTGGGTGTTGTGATTTCTCTGGTCTCTGCAGATCTGCCCTGCACCTGTCATAAGGAACAAGTTCATTTTCACACAATAAGCAACATTCTTCACTGCTACAAGAAAATTAAAACCACCCTATTCACAGTACCAGTTATATTTTTCTGCAACAATGGATAAAACAACACAATTAAAAAAATGTGCCACTTTAAATATCTGCTCTTATAAATGAAAGCCACAGACAGTTTCTTCCCTAATCCCATAAAGAGAATACACAGCTTAACACTTGGTAGAGGCCCATAGCACCAGCCCATTCTGGTACACGTACTGCAAGGAAGGACATAGAATGTACCAAACAGGAGCATCATAATATCAGGCAGGGGCAAAAACATAAGCACACAAATGATGGGAATTTAAGAAAGGGAGATAAGAATGGTTCCAGAGTGTCTGGGTTAGGAGGAGGAAGAACATACTTCCAGGGCCCAAAGAACTACCTGGTGAAGAATGAGCTGCTGGATTTGGTCAATAGTGTAATGTATACCTGGCTTTAAGTAGCAACAAAACACTTTATTTGTACTACAAGTCTTCCAGGGCCAGGGACATAGCTTAGTGGTACAGTACCCATGTTCAGGGTCTTGAGTTCAATCCCCAGCAACACATGCACACACACAAAGAAAAACAGAAACAAAAACAAAAAAATCCAAACTTTTAAAAACTATGTGTCCTTTGTAACAGGTCTCAAGATAGGCAGAAGTAATAATTTTCAGTCCCATTATTTGAAAAGTTTTCAACTCTGGATGCCTCTACGCAGAAAAGATCCACATTTTCCCCAGGCCACAAAGCTATTAAGTGGAGGAACAGAGGTTTGCCTCACAGTCTGAGTGCAAGTCACTTAGCAGTATGGCCTGTCAGAGCACTTTCCACTTCAGTGCAAAAGAGTGGCTTCAGTGGTAGACCACCTGGCTAGCTCAAATCCAAGTCCCACAAAAGAAGCACAAAAAATAAAATTACTCCCATTCCTTGGACAAGGTGAGTGATGTGTGTTCATCCTTTCAATCCCAATCAGAGGTTGAGTCAAATCAAAGAGCCGACCCTCCATGGCAACAGTCTTCATTTCCCTCGAAATACCAACTTTGGTGTGGGGTTCTGTGGTCTGAGTTCTAGTGGGAAGTTCTCATGCCTCCCAGTGACTTTGATTAGATCAGCGTGGCCCCTGGCAGCACACTCTGGCATAGCACAAATGACCAAAGTACAGCTGAACTAAGTAAGGAACAGACCACACAACAGCAGCTATGAGAAAAGACGCATTAGTATAAAACTGAGCCAATGATACCACACTGTTCTAAATCAGGACAACACATCAGAGGCAACTGAAAGAAAACTTAAAACCCACTTATGTAGCTAAGACCATCACAAAACCAATCAGGCAGTGCCAAGTGCAAGTCAGTCAGCAGCTTGTTCACAGCAGGCTCTAAACCTAGGAGCTGCTGGCCAGCTGTGGACACTGAGCATGGAAAAATACCACGAATGCAGAGTAAGATGGATTTTAAAGCTTAAAACACACTACTGAGGCTAGGGTTATAGCTCAGTGGGAGAGTAGATGCTTAGCATGTGTGAGGGCCCTGGGTTCAATCCCTGCACTGAACAAATAATAAACTACACACTATTGTTAAAACACAGTATGAATTAATACAACATATGTCAATACTAATTTCTTACATTGATTACCCAGAAATACATTTTAAATACAGTGGAATACATAAAATATATTAGTAATGTTACTTCTTTTAGTGTGGCTGTTGGAAAATGAAGATTACACACATGGCTGGCATTCTCTTTCCATTAGGAGCACAGCTCTAAGCATTCACAGCTTTACTCCTGAAGAGCTGGGACTTGCAGACTCACAGTGAGACCTTTCCTAACTGACTACAAAACATGGTGACTACTAGAAGCCAAGAGCTCCTGCCTTTACCACCTGGAGGCTGAACATAAAGTTAAGCTAGACCAGTTGCACCCAGAAAATACTGGCGCCTTGAGGAAACACTTACTTTCTGTTTCTCTGAAGATAAAGGCTAAGTGTCACTTGTCCTAACTTTCAAGCATGGATCTTAAAGAAATACAGTCATACTGATTTCAGGACATATTCTAAACTCACGGTAGGTTGACTTAAGAACTAATAAAACAATGGCAGCAATGACAGGGACAAGAACAGCACACCTTAAGGGGACCCTGTGTCAAGACTAGGATGGCCTCCCACTAAGGGAACCAGCAGGCAGATTATAATCATTACACATAGGTTTGGGCTGCTCACAGCCTAAGAGAAACAGCTACCTTGTGGCCAGCAGTGTGGACATGCGGTGGGCAGAAAGGAAATACCATGGCACACTTCACATATGGGGCCACAGGGCAGTCTTTATGTCTTTTCAACAGTTAGTAAATAAGTGGATTTAAGATGAAAACAGAATGTGTTCTTCAAACACTGCTTTTCCACTATCTAGCCCCTCTGAGAAATGTCTGCATTTTTTGAAAACTTGGAACTTAAATGAACTCCTTTCATCCAGGTTCAGGTCCTCTCAATCCTCCCACACCCTAAACTCTCCTCTCTCTTCCAGAGAACTCTTGTTAGCTTCTGTCTTAAATGCACAAAAAGACGAAGTATTATTCTGTTTTTTGGGGGAAAAAAACCTTACCTTTGGTTGACGTTTATTCCATGGCATTGAAGATTTTTTGACTAATACTGCCACAAAAAACCCTCCAGTATTCTGATGATGGGGCAATATTCTAAGGCTAAAAATACAGATATAGAATTCATATTTTACAAATGATGCAAAAGCATTCTTTTAGTATTAAAACAGACTATAAAGATATCTGAGGTCAAGTCTTATTGCAAATACTCAAGCAGTCCTCCCTCATAGAACAGCCAAAATATAACCTTTAAGAAGTTTATGGAGAGGTAATGGAGATAAGAAAGGTAAATAGAGGTGGAGAATAAGATCAAAGGACATTATATGCATAGAAATGTCATTGTGAAATCCATCACTCTTTGTATAACTAACACATACCAATTAAAAAAAATCCCAAAAAGTTCGTGAAATTTCCAAAGTATGAACACTGAAGTTCTAACCAATTCCACTACTTATAAATACCCTATGACAGCAACTAATAGGCACCAAGAACTCCTTACTTGCTGGAAGGTTCCCACATATAGGACTGGAGGAAGGCACAGCCCAGACCTCACAGCAAAGTTACATGCTGCCTAGTAAATTCTGCCTAATAAAGCCCATCAGGTGACGCACCACCCGGTCCCCAAACCCTGGAGTGTCCATAAACTTACCATCGCTCTAGGTGCATTTCCTCTAACTTTTCTAGGTCTTTTGGTGGGAACATGGTGGGTCGGATTTGGGTATGCCTGCTGTGGGGAACATCGTCCCAGTCAGCAAACCACTGCCCATCTCTTGTCATGACCTGCAAATAAGAGCACCTTTCTATACAAACAGCACCACCACTAAGCAAAACCACAGGGTACAGTGTGAATGCTCCCAAGCATATGCAAATATAAACATAAAGTGCCCTTTACAAAAAAATCCTCAAGTAACATATTCTCTATTAACAAGAATGAAATACTTTCATTCACAAAACCAGGATATCCATTGCAAAAGAACATTTTCCATATAGGTTTCTTTTTTGCTTTTCCAGCAAGTGTCACATGGTTTTGGGCCTGTCAATGTAATGTGATAGGAAACAAAGCTTGAATCCCAGGCCATCCATCAATAAGTAAAGCAAAGTTGTACTTATGGGAATGAGAACAAGAAAGCTGGTTTCTACAGAAGAAATAAAGGCAAGAGAACGTTTCCACTGCCAGAGAAAAACATATGTATAATCAGACCATTTGTCATTAAATATCACTTGGACACTAACTCTAAACTGTATGAGCAGATGAAGTATTGATCTGTGTTACCCAGACACAAATGCAACTTCTATGGCTCTTATGTCTGTCACACTGTCCTCACTCTTTTGAATTAAAGTTCTCATAGCAGGATTACCTTCCACTGTGTGACTCCAGGCATCCACTTCAATCCTGGCAATTCACCAGATACATCAGCAAGCTCTAGAGCACCTACACAGTGAAAAGAAAAAGAAAAAAAGAAAAATTCCCAAAAGGCATGGCACACTATGCCCTATGAAAGAAACCAGACATAAAAGATTACACATAGTATGAATCCACTTACAGCCAATGTCCAGGGAAGGCAAATACACTGGCAGAAAGCAGGTCAGTGGCAGCTGGGGGCTGGCGTGGGACAGGAAGTGAATGCACGAGTGAATGGGCATGAGGGTCCTTCTTGAGGTGCACAAAATGGTGAAACCAGGCTAAACCTGCAAGCCTACTGTACACTTAAAACCGGGTGAATGTCATGCTGTGCAATTACAGCTCAATAAGGCTACTAAAGGTATTGTAGAGTCCACGAGGGCAAGGCTAACCCCAGCGAGAACAACCTACATGCTGCATGCAGCTAGGATTCAGAGTGCCCCAGAACCAGGTTTTTTTAGTGCCCAGAGTCAATTCTAGACATTTAGTTTTAGGTCCAGTATGTTTCCTAAAATTGCCCATCAGGACACTGTTGGCCCATATTTTCAAACAAAGTACAACAGTTGTGAACACATACTCTGGCCTTCTAAGTGTCTACAACGTGACCCCTAAGAAGCTGTGAGGTGGTCACTTCAGGGAACCCTGAAGCCAGCTAGTACCACTGAACAGCTTTGACACCTTCACAGAAAAGGAAACGCCAGCAAGGACCCATGGAGAAGCTACACAAGCCCACATACTTATAAAGACAAAGCAAAGCATCCCTGAGGCAGCTGTGCAGGGGAAGAGCCTCTCACGCAAGAATCTTCCTGCCTTCTGCTGTCACTCCTGCATGTTCTTCCTTTAGAGTTAACATGAACCAACAGTGCAGGCACACACAAACTATTTCCTCAGACACTGTCCAGAGCCTCAGAAACAAGCAGAGCTGGCCTAGTTGACTTCTGACCCTCATATGGGGTGGGAGCTATCAACACTGACTCGCTATTTGTAGTCTGCACATTTATCAGATGCCATTTCTCCAGCTAAGGTTTTGAGTACATTCAAGTGAGAACTACACCAAGTCAAAATCCCAGCAATACTATTAAGAACAAGGTTCAGTGACAGTCTGCTCCTTCTTCAAGGAAGCCTCCTCTGTGCACAATGCCTTTGACAGAGAATCAGGATGAGGCATCTACAATGCAGTCTGCTACAATGCAGTCTGCAAACAATTGCACGCAGGTGGCTATAACATCTTATCAGACAGGTACAACCAGAAACCCCTGGCCCAACAAGAAACAGGAGACTTGCTCAATAAATCGTATGCTGCCTTGAATTTATTTTGACACTTATCAAAAGAAAACCTATTACATCTGGAAATGATTGAAAAAGTACAATACAATATTTACATAGTCAAAACTCTTTAACACAGTAAAGATGAAATGAAAATATGGCAAAAATCTACCCAGTTCACTAAGAAAATAATCCCATTATTTCTTTCTGAAATAAGAAAGCCCTCAAACATAAAGCCAGTTGGCCCAACAGTGTTGTCGCTCTTTCACACTCTTATGTGGAGGCAGAGGTCAGCTCTTAACCAAGCACCTTCTCTCCCCGCGACCCCTAAAACATTTCCTCTGGGACTCTGGAGAGCTACAATGATTCCTGGGTTTGGAACAAAAACATGAGGGCCCTCTCTCCACTCTGTCTTTCTCCTCCAAGCTTTACTGGCAAGCTTGCCCTTAACACAAAGGCTACTGTATTCCACAGGTGAGCACCTTTGTGATCCAGGATACAGAAGACCTAATCCTTAAGACCAGAATTTGAAATCACATTAACAGTTTTATTAGTAAAGTTACAGGTGAGATTCCAGCCTGAATCAACTCTACTCTGTTACCTCATTTGTCAACTGGTTTAAGAATCTGACTAGAGAAGGAAGGTGCTACTTATTGGGATTCTAAGAGACACCCTTCCATCTCTCAGATACATTAAATATACACAGAGAGGTAAATAAAGCCAGCTACTGCCTAGAAAACACCTAAACAGATTCTCAGGCACTCGTCAGAAAACCAGCAAGGAGATTCTAAATACATAAAAAGGAGCAAGCCAGTCTCATGAGGAAGACTGCCAAAGAGCCAATTAAAGGGTTTCAGACAGGATGAGGACTGCACCACTCTCCCCTCACCCAATAGTGACAGTCTTCAATGTCCACTCATCCCCTCTCTTGACCCCAACCTCCAGCATTTTCTCACTCTCTTAAGTTACCAACTCCTCCTCACTCCACTTTGCCAGGGTTTGCTCTTGCTTATTCTTAACTTTTAAACAGATGCATTGCATGTGAGATTCTGCTCACTCATCCCACTCCCGCCCCACCTCAGTGGGTTTGCAAAATGATGCCTTCCTACAAAGGCTATGGAGACTCATGGGACAAAAAACTAGAATGTGAATTCTCTCTAATTCAGGGTAACACCTGTTTACCTAAGCTAGTCATCAACAGTGGGAACATATAGAAACATGATTTGAAATTTCTCATTATGTTCTGTTAGGAAATCCTACCACAGCAAAGTTAAGGGGGAGAGTTACCATTTCAGTAAAATACAAAAGGAGGAAAAGCATTTTATATCAAAGCATTGTGGAAATTGCTATCTTATGGTATTTTATACTATGTCTGGTTCCCCAATATAAAAATGTATTAAGACCTTACAACCATTAGAATGTTACTAATGAATAAACAAACCCAAGAAATTGCTGGCACAATGTGCACAAAATGGAGCACTGTGCACTGTGGAATGTGAAATGATGCTGCAGTTAAAGAAAACTATCTGGTGGGTCCTCAAAAAACTAAAAACAATTTCCATAAGATCCAGCAATCCCACTTTTGGATTTGCTCACCCAAAACACTTAAAAAGAGATCTTTATTTACAGTCTCGTAGTTTTTGTTCACAAGAGCCAAAAGGAAGAAGCCCAAGTGTCCCTCCACAGATAAATTACTAAACAAAAATGTGGCTTATATACAACCGAGTACCAATTACAGCAGGGGTAGATCTTGAGGACATTATGGTAAGTAAAATACACCAATTACAAAAAGAAAATTATGATATGATTCTATGTACATAGATACCTAGAGTAGTAGAAGTCCCAAAGACAGAAAATAGAGTAGCAGTGGCCAGGGCTGAGGAAGAATGGAATGAGACTTTTTAATGAGACCAGAGCTTCAGTTTTGCAGAATAAAGAATTCTGGAAAGGAATAGAGGTAGCAGTTGCACAATGTGAATCTACCTATCACTACTGAACAGTGCAGTTAAAAGTAGTTCAAGATGATAAACTCTGTTATGTATGTCTTATCACAAATAAAAACTTTTTAAAATAAACCCATGTGATAAGGATCTGACATAATTAGAAAAAATGAACAAAGTTTCTTTTGTTATAAAGACCCCCACCTTCCAAATAATTCACAAAATATGATAAACCCATTATAGAAGACTGTCTTCAACTAGGACGTCTCATTTGAGAGGCTATGGCTTCAGATTAAATATATAAGCAACAGCTCAGGAAAAGGTCTACAGGAGCACACAATGGCAAAACCATCTCTGAGAAGCATGCATCTCTGCTGAACAATTGGCAAGCATGCTCACCTTCACTCTTCTCCAGCAAAGAGGCTATGACTGCTTCGTCCTCGATGGGGTTCAGTGAACAAGTGGAGTACACCATCCTCCCACCTTCTGCCAGCTGCTCAGCACCTCGAGTTGCAATCCGTAGCTGTAAGCTAAGGGTCGATGTCAGGTTACCCCAGACTGAACATATCCACAAATGCTATAAAGTACCTATTTATTGTGTCATACATTTATTACAATTTATATGACACTCATAACTTTAAAAAAAAATTCTGTAAGGTTGTAGGTGAAGTTAAGGTAAACATCTATAAGCTATTTGGTGATAGTGAAAAGAATATGTATTTATACACATCCTACTAATCTTCCCCAAGATGGGGACAAGTGAAACACAAAGCTGATCAGCAGCTGAGTTTAACATGAAAAAAACTTACATATTTGAACAGAGATGTGGGTTTTTTCCTCTGGAAAATTGTGGCCCCCTCCTCATACATTCTAATCCTACCTTTGCCTGCATTAGCACTTACTTAACTTAAAAGCAGTTACTATTCCTGAAAGGTTTTCAGAGCAACTCCACCATGAGAGCAAACTATCATGAGGTGACTGCTAACTACCACTCCCAGATGCTGACATGTGGAGCAAGCACTGTGTGCTCAGCTGCATCTTTGCTGATCTAAGTGTACTCAGCTTCACGCTCACTCACCCATGCAGCTGCAAGCTGTTTAAGGTGGACCACTTCTTCCAAACATCAATGTTTTTTCTCATAGTGCCATCTCCACTGCAAAGAGAGTATTTAACAACTTGAAATTCCGCACAGACAGAAGACTAAAGTTTTACTGGGTATGTCATATTCAAAGTGAATTACAAAACAGATATTACTATAAATACCAATCTTAATTCTCACAAATGACAACCACCTTTGTATTTGGTACTATACTTTTAAATTATACTTTAACTTTCAATTCAAAAGAGAAATAATAGGTTGAACAGGAAACCTCACTCAACTCTAAAGAGGATTAATTTCTTCCATTTGGGAGAAATCCAGGTTGGATATCCCTTATCCAAAATATTGTTCTTCAGATTTTTCAGTACATACATGTACACAATGAGATACCTTGGGAGTGACCCAAGTCTAAACATGAAATTCATTTGTTTCATAAACTCCTGAAGGTATTCTTACATAATATGCACAGTACACCTGTGCTTTGACAGAATCCACCACGAGGTCCACATGAGGTATGGAATTTGTCACTTGTGGCATCTGATAAGCATTCAAAAAGCTTCAGATTTTGGAGCTGTTTTAATTTTCAGATTAGGGATACTCAACCTATATTAGCAAAACTAATTTGCATACCTAGGGTACAGAACCTTGAATGATGGTATTCAGAAACACGGTCAAACAACAGTGACATTTTAATCAGAATTACATGAATAATGATAAATTTATACTCATAAAGGCTTTCCCACAGCAAATTCTATGAGATAACTTAATTCCATTAAAAATTTTTTCTATAATCACAGTTAAAATATTTCTGACTTTCATTGCTGGAAATTAATCCCATGTACATTTTACAACAGACTCTTATACATGTCTAGTGTTATCTACTTTGTTTCTTCAGGGCTTGCTCCTGCCTTGGCTGACTTTCCTAGGCGACATTTAATTTTCCTCGGTGGTCTAGTCACCAGTGCTTGGTGGTGGTACAGTGCACTGTACCGTGATATATAATCCCTACTTTCAAATAATGTCCCTGGCTGGATGCTGGTGACTTGTATGGCAGGAACTCCACCATCAATCCATAAATTTACAACCAATCCAATTGCTCTTAAGGTCATTTTATCCTCAGAGTGTAGGAGAGGAGCTGTATTTCCGATCAAAAGCACACAGAGGTAGGAAAAACTACCCCAGGTTAAGGTAGAAAACTGCAATCTAGAGAAGAAAGAACTTAGTTCATGACTAATGTATTTAGGTTATGAAGTCTATTTGACACAGCGTAGCAGCTGTTTTATTTACCATGCTCCAAGCTATTTAAGGTGGTCCATGTTTTAAGTTTTTACTTAATTCTAAATTTTACTTTAACTTAGCCATGTTCAGTGTTATCAGATGTAATATTCAAACTGAGTTCTGCCATGAGCAGTGAATGTGCCAGTGGTTTAAACAAAGTGGAATTCTTACACAAGAAGGCATCCTATTTAAACACCCTATAGAGTGTGGAGCAGTTCTGTGGCCGTTTTTGAGCTCTGATCTCAACAAATCCATGCTACTCAGGTGTTAACTCCTAGGACCATGCCTGCCTCTGAACACACATATGGTACATATGGTACTCTAATGGTGCACATTTTTGCCTGGAGAATTATTCATTCATGTTATGAATATTTTCACACATAAACTCTAAATACCTAGTATTGCATAAAATTTGAAGTATAAAGATATGGGTAAAATGAGTTACTCAAAGGTTTCCACTCCTAAATTTCTTTCATTGGAATAAGTAACAAAATTTAGCAGAAAAACTCAATGTGATTATGCATTATTCACATATATACTGGAACAACAGAAAAACTTGGGATACAAAACGGTTCCAGGTAATATCCTAAAATCACCACTGTGGGAGTTTTTGATTCTACATTCCTTAGGTGCTTTCTTCAAATCTTTTTTAGGACTATTTATCAAAAACACCCCTTCCTATATCTCTCTGTTCTGTATCCAATGTCATGCTGAGCTGTTTCACTAACAGCTCATGTCTCTTTCTCCATACTTGTGGCCACAAGAATCACACATACACTCCTGTTGGCTCTTGTGCAGCTTCACGTCAGTCTATACTTGATTTCCTGGTGGATGTGGGGCTTTCTGCCTTTTAATAATATAAATACCTGCAAGGGACATCACATAAAATTCGATCATAGAAGAGAATCTCTTTCCTTCCGTCCACATCTATTGTGAGTCTAGGAATGCTGGATGCATCATGGTTTACCACCATGATGCAGGGACTGCTCAACCTTTTGGCTTGATGAACGAGCAGATAGCAGCGCTTGTTGTCCACATCATTAGCGATAACAAATCCCTCTGGTAACATAAAATTGTAGTGTCGAGTGAGATGTAGCAGAAGTGGAATAATTTCCTGAAACACATAACTCTAGAGGTAAGAGGCAGCAATTCACCAAACTTAAGACCCGAGGTCAAGATTTCCTAGAACTATGTAAGCGGTCCCCAAAAAGGAGCCAGGTGGCTTGGCATGGACTTTATGGACACCTGAAATTTAAAACCTCAAGATTAATTTGTTAACAACTATTCACTTTGTACCAATTACTATGCCAATGATTTCTTTCCCATCATTAGGAACTAATAATTACAAAGGAGGGTGAGGAGAGAAAGGAAAACCAAACAATAATCACTGGACCAGTGTTAAAATATTGCCATGTGCCAAGGCTCTGCTCTAGACTGAGAATCCAGCCCTGAGGTGGGGTTGAAGCACCTAGTCCTGGGACAGTCTCCCCAGGATGAGAACCACTGCTGGGAAGTTTACTGCGTGCTGCCTGTGCTCACTTCTGGTTCTTCCCATTCGCTCTGCAATAAGGCAAATGTATCTAATAACATTTGTTATCAAAATAATTCTTCAAAACAATATGAAATGCAAAAATAATGCGAAAACTAATACAAAGAGAAAACACTGCTCCTTCTAGCATATTGAGGCTTTTTACTACCAATTTGGTGAATACTAAAAATAAGGAATAAAGACTTGTTAAAAACTTGTTAGCAAAAAGGTCATCTCAATAACGTAAAAAAGAAAACTTTTTAAACACACACACACACACACACACACAACTAAGGAGTATGCAGCTGGCTCAAGGAAAGCAAGCAGGAGAGACAAAGACTAACTAACACACACCATGTGCAATGTTTGTCTTCCTCTCCTTAAGAGAACCCCTTTTCCAGGGCATGGGCGATGCTGAGAAGAGCCACTTGGCAAGCACTGAAGCTTCCTGACATCTGTCACAGGAAAATGGCTCACCATTCACTATGAATGTGATAAATGCAATGTCCCCCATCACCACCATTTGTCTACTGAATGCTGATGGGATCTGGACCAAGGCAGCCTCAGCTCTTAAGAACCCACTACTGTCCAGCACACAAGCCAGAAAGTAACTAAACAAGGGGGTGTAGGTTGGGGGCGTTGCTTTTGCTAGAAATTCAAAGTATGAAATCTAGTGTTAGTAGGCCTGACAAATAAAAACCATTTGGTTTTATAGAAAACACGTGTAATCCTAAAATAAACCCCCTCCCAAAGTACAAATGCGTTGGTTTGAGAAATCCTGGTCACAATGGACAAAATGCTTGGTGACAGTGTATTTCAGGGCCCAAGGGATAGAAAACACGAAGGTCTTTCCCTCACCTACAGCTCACCAGAGTACCTTTCCTACTCTGCAATGAATACCTGGGAAGGGGACATTCATGTCAGCATGAAGCATCTCAATCAACTGCGTGGTCTTCGATCCAGGTGCTGCACACATATCTAAGATCTATTAACAAAGCAAGAAAACACTTGATGTTTTTAAAAAATCAAATATTCTAGATTCAATTTAATACAATTTTATAAGTTATTCTAGTATTCTGATTTCTATCTCCATACCTAAACACACTTTCTGGAATGAACCTATAGCACGTTGTGTTACTTTTGAGGGATCACATAATATCTAATGCCCCCCACCCCAAACCAGGATGGGAACATACATTTAGAGATGAATACTAAGGATGGTGACACAGTAATGCTAAATGACAGCTTTAGCTTTGAATTTCAGCTCAGCTACTTGCCAGCTCTGTAACTTGGGGCCAATTACATCACTTCCTCTGCTTCCTTTTCCTCATCTGGAAAAATAGAGTGATAGCATCTACCCTCAGAGGGTTGTGCAGATCACAAAAGGAAGGGTACTGAACAGTGCTTGGCATGTAATGAGCTCTCACTGTGACTTTCAAAGGTTATTTGGCCAGTGAAGATCACTGAAGACAGTTGTACAGTAAACAAACCAATAAAACTTTAAGATGGGAAGTTATGTGAATTATAAAAATGAAATAGGACAAAAATACAAGAGCCTAAAATAAATACATACTATTCTCCACGCAAAGTATTTAAAAAAAAGGGATTGTATTAAAAGATTTGAACAAAACAGGCACATTGCCAACAACCCACCCGCCATGCTGTGCTTCCACCTAGTGCACTACCTTGTGATGCGGCTGAACGTCCAGCAGCAGGGGTGGTATCATGCTGACAGCCTCCTGACGACTGATATTTCCCTGGGGGAGAAAAAATCAGCAACCACAAAAATGGCAGAGAATTTCCATACTGGGCATTACATGAAATGCAACAGAGAAAGATCACGTAATTTCGCAGAGAACATAGAACACTAACTGTAAATGAGAACAGATCTTTACACTAAAGGATAAATGGTTGCTATCTGAAGGCCAATTGAGTATGACACTCACACCAAAACTGATCATTAGAATGGTAGAAATTCAGGCAGGACAATGAATTTTAGCATTATGGTAAGAATGGGCTGGGCGAGCATCTCTCCAAAGTAGGTAGGCCTGTTATCTCTATACCAATGGAACACAAGACAAGGTGGTTTGTCCAGGCAGTGTTCCCTTCTTAAGTATGATTTCTATTTCTTGGTCCTGTTTTGTTTTCAATAACCACCCATGGACACTTTCTAATTCTTCATAACTGCCTTTCACAGAGAAGAACACAGCTATTGCTCCCATCTTCACTCTTAGCCAACTAATACCCAACCTTCCTCACTAATCTCCAATCTCACATCTTAAGATGGTCAGTGCAGGGGTCACAAGAGACAGTATTCAGACACAGACAATTCTGCTGTTGCAGGCCAGCACTGCTTCAACCACAGCTCTACCAGCAGCTGGATACCATACTGGCTCCCCAGGCTGCTGCTCCACACAACCTGGGTCTGGAGTACCAAAACTGCTAGACATCGTTCATCTTCTCACAGTCAGATAGACTTGTATGTTTTTATCTGCCAATTTCACCTCAGGCATTTCTGGCCAGGAGCGAGTCTGTGAAGACTACCTGAACCACTCACTAGGCACAAGGATTCCCAAGCTTTAGGGTTATGAATGTGATTCTGATAAGCCTGCTGTTCCCATCCAAGTTTTCAATTAAAGCATTAATGAGGATGGGGACGCCAGGCCCTTGACTACAGACATTCCAGCAATTAGTCACTTGATTCATAAACACTCTGAAAAGATTTGTAGCCAGTTCTGAATAGCCAAGAGGGTATTGCTGTTATTCTCAAGAGCTCTCATCACTCTAGTTCCTGATTAAAACCTAGACTAGTTTTTACAACACCTTCCCACTTTGAACTCTCAGCTGAAATTCCCATCTCCTCTATTTCCAAGCTGCTAAAACATGGTTCTTCAAACCTGTGTATGACACTGGTGCCCACAAACCTTCTGCTCCATTCAAAGCACAAGCCTGAATTGTGTCCTGAAAGTTTGCTTATCTTTACTTGATCCTTCCATCTGGATTAAGAGCTGAGCGAAAGACAGGGTGTGTGGCTGCACTTAGTTCTTAGTTTTTGTTATCAACCAGGAAGAAAAAGTCAAGCAAACAGGAGCCTAGTTTAACAGATTACCTATATGGACAGAAAGTCACACTGGTAGTAAACAGCTGTGGGTCCAGTAGAAATTAGAACAGGTGAATTGGTTAAGGCTTCAGAGAAGAAACTTGGGAAAGATGTATAATTTAGTGGATTTCCTTGGTGATTAGAAAAGAGGAAGGAGGAAACCTGACTTTAAATGTGAAATTCAGAACCGCAGGAGAATAAAAAGGAATCAGCAAAGTTTCCAATACTCACACTGCAGGGGCATTCATGTAACTTTTACTGCATGACTGAACAGCTCTTCTGTTGGGGATGGTTCTGTGCTAAATGAAGGAGTTCAGTGACCAAACTGAACTCAAAGCATGGGGTAGGAAAGAAATCAAGAAGGAACATAGCTTCAGAGAACAAAGCTGTACTTATATTGTGTGGGGTTTTTTTTTGGCAAAGGTGGAGCAATATGGGGCAAGAAAAAATATAAGTGATAAGAAGTGGACTTGTCTCCTTTTTAATATAATAGATTTTGGACAATCCCTATAGTCCAAAAATATGGACTTAAAAATCTGTATTTTATATGTACAACAGGAACCTGTAATGTGCCCCTAAGATAGAAATTGGAGTAGACTCAGCAACCACCTCACAAGAACAGCCTGTCATTTATGACAGAGGGCAAAGTGCTTTCGCCCAAGTCCTACAGCTAACCAAATCCTCGTGTTAAAAGGAGACTACAAATCAAACTGACATTTATGACTGATATCCTTACTAAATTTCATGATCACACACTACAAACAAGGTCATTGGTAAATAAATAACCAGAAATTAAAGATGATGTGTTTACTTACAGGTGTCTTTGCTGTATGCTTAATCTACTTTTGCTCCAGTAATAAGCATAGCACAAATACAACTATGATACATCTTTGCATTTAATGCTTTAAGAACACCAACAAATCCAGACATCTACTTACAGATTCAGTTTCGCTAACCAGGAACTGATGAAACCGTTCCAACTGTGGAGACTTTCTCAAGATTTTTCGACTTAAATTTGTGTGCCAGGCAAGTTCTTCAGGATACCTGACCAAAAAGAAAGTAAATACTCATGGATTATATACACTGAAGTGCTCTCTGACAACTTACTGCTCCTACAGATCATATGTTAAATCAGATACCTCATTTCATTACACTTGCTCACATCTCTCAAGTGCAGCTGGCAGCACTCACCTATGTCCCTAGGACACGATACTGTGATTTTAAGAAGACCATGAGCCAGCAGGAAAAAGACAAGTCATGTAGGGGATTATAAGAAATACATATATAATGTTATATTAAAACTGTATTGGCCAAGTGCCAGTGGCTCATGCCTGTAATTCTAGCTACTCAGGAGGCAGAGATCAGGAGGATCCCAGTTTGAAGCCAGTCCCGACAAACAGTTCTCAAGACCCTATCTCAAAAAACCTGGTGGAGGTGGCTCAAAAAAAGGGCTGGAAGAGTGGCTCAAGGTTTAGGCCCTGAGTTCAAACCCCAGTACCACAAAAAACTAAATAAATAAAACTACAATAAGGGAGATGAAAAAGTGGAAAGTGCTCTGCTCCTCACAATGTAAGTTCACGATAGTGTAGAAGACAGCAGAAAAAAAAGACACAAGAAGGATAAATTACTTAAAATACAGATCACACAGCATCAAAATAACACAGTAGGGAATGTTTAACAGACATCTGATGTTTGACATGTATCTGACAAGAATCTTTTAAAGATAAGTATTTTTTTGCTATTCTGATCAATGAAGTTCAATAACTCACTGAAATGGTTCACATACCCAAAACAAACAAACAACAAAAAAACCTTGGAAACCACTGATTTGAACTCCTAGGTTCACTGTCATCTACGCAGAACTAAGAATGAGGCGTCTCAGCTGTCTCTGTGGGTACGTGTGAACTTTCTGTAAGGGACGAGGTCATGATTGGGAAAGGAGTGTTGATCCTGGCCTGCACCTGTGCACTAGTTGTGCAACTACTAATGTGACACACAGCACTGTGCTCAATTAGTCTAATGGCAAGCTAAGCACATAGCAAGCAGTGATAAATCTTACTGTGGCTTTTGTGCTTACTGTGAAGTCTATGCTGCAATAATGAGCTCAATTAACAATAAAAGGTCACAACGGTTTCATACATCAAACTGCAACCAGAGTGGCAGCCATGAAACACGTGAAGAGTACTGTGTATCAAAATAGGAAAACTAAACTGGCGGAATGCACTCACAGCCATCCAACACAACCCTAGGGATTTGAATCTAGTTCCTATGCTGGGTTCCCTCTTCAATGTTTAACCTGTCTTAAAAATACAAAGCCAAAATAAAATCTTATCCATCAGGAAACTACAAAAGAACTTAAATATTCTTTTGGCTTTTCCGAAGTAGGATGGATGCACTCAATCTTGGCTTCTGCTGCAGTATTTGGCAAAATCTACTGCGCCACTGGGATGTCTACAACACAGAGAAGCCAAATGGCCACTTTTATATAACTTCTAGCACCCATGAACTTGTCTGCGATCAGTGACAGTATTATCTCATAAGTTATAGTACCAAAACAACGCCAACACCACATGCCATTCAGATTTACTAGAAATAGCTGAATTGTCATATTCAAATATTGAAAGCAACTCACATACAACTTAAGCAAATATCTCTTTATGTGCCTTATGGGTAAATCTACATCTAAACAAAACAGTTCAATAATTTACTAAAATAGTAAATTTACTATTAAAAGCTTCAAGTTTCCTGTAATTATGAGTGTGAAAGCAGCTGGTCTCACAATTAAAAATGGCTTAGAGATTTCGAATAGTAAAATAAAAAAGTCAGAATGAATGAAAACCATGTTTCTTATATAGCTTTAGAACAGCTTCATCTTTGCTGAGCCAGCATTTTCTTAAATCTTTGTAGATTTTAATATCAATGAAATATTAAAGAACCGCATTTAATTTTTATTTAATAATTCTTTTAAGAAAAAGTACAACTTGGACTTTTTTGAGGATAAATTAAAAGCACCAATGTCACCTTTGCACATCAAAAAATTTCACGGGGAAAAAGGCTCTGTAAATATATACATCTATGATAATAGTACTCAACCCAGGCAACAATCTGACTGGGAAAACAAGGCCTTAACATAATTCTCCACTGTTCCGAGTCTATGGAAAACAAGGAAAAAATTGAAATCTGGCTATTCATAATATTGCTACACATGGGATTCCTCTCATAACATTCCTTTCGAAAATCTACTTTGAAATGCTTTCCTAAATTATACTCCAAAGATCAGGAAGAATACTGTATGATCTATTTCTGCATTTTGAACAATACAGAAAACCACCAGAAGCCCTGGAAAGGTTCTGCTTTATTGCTCAGAGATTTACAAGTATCCAACAAGTGACAAACACATTTGATTAAATGTTTACAGAACAAAGCTGTCAAGAAACTGCCATTGCTAATGGAAAAGTAAGTATTAAAATCCAAACAATTCAATCTTTTCTTCATACACTTCAGCTGTGTTCAGAAAGCTAAAGCAAAATGACAGCATCGAGTAGCGGGCTATTGGCAGTGACTTTCTTCAGGTGCAGGACCTTTTTCATGGCTTTGGAACCGCCTTGCCATTTACCCACACGTGATGTTCAACAAGAAAGATGGAAAAGCAACTGTTAAGTCTTAAAGGGCTGATCAAAATAAGAGTTTGAAATAACTCATAGAGATCAGAAAAATAAATAATTAGCAAAATCGATTACCAAGCTCTGGTTTCTGAGTTTTTCAGAAACTGAAGAAGATGACCACAGGACTGGGGCAGGGCTCAAGTGATAAAGCACTTACCTGACAAATGGGAGGCACCACTGAAAAAAAAGAAAGAAAAGAAATCAAGCACAACAATGTGCCTGTGAGAGTGCCCCTATGATGCTGGAATGTCCTCCTTCTGGCCAAGGATGGAGGACAAAGACTTCTTCATTTTCCTTACCCTTTCACAACATTTCTAGACACAAGGTTTAAGGAACAATTGTTTCCAGGTGATAGTATAAAGCAGCAAATCCATGCAAAACTAAACTGCCCAACAGTCTCTACTTAAAACAACGCACCAGCATTGCTATCACCAATCAAGTTGTCAAACCAAAACTGTCGAGGGGAGAGACCCTGTGAAGGTCATCTCATCTCAGCAATACCATGACCACAGCAGCTGAGAAGCAGCTTCCTTTTCCATGGACCTCATTACATTGCACATGCAAATAGTGATCACCAACAGCAACCTGGCATCTGAGTCATTTCCCTGTACTCTTCGAGCTTTTTAAATATAACTGAAATGTGTAATAATAATAATAGTAATAATAATGATAATAATAAACTCTGGCCTTTTTTTGGCACAAAGTTGCAGGTTTACTTTAAGCCTGCAGAAATGCATTCTACAATGTTGATTACTTGGTTTTTGTCTTGCCTATAGATTGACTTTAGTGTCTGACCATTCAGCATTCATTCAAAATGCACATGATGTGCACATCTGTGACACAGATACTGAAAAAGCCAAGTGATCAGTGAAAGAAAGCAAAGCCGTACTCCCTGAGTAATGAAAACCTGATCTTGGCTTATGATCACTAAGTGTTATCTAACAAAAACAGTTAAAACCTCAAAACTGCCAGAAAAAATTGTTAAATTCGCCTCGAGACGGCAAATATTCAAGGTATTTTTTTCTTTTGTGAGAATTCTCAATAACTCAAAGTTAATCTGAAATATGGAACTAGAGCAATTTGCTCTAACAACTTTTCTAAGTTAACTCAGGGCTTGGTACCTCCAGTTTGCATTCCAGTATTCCAGGCATTTCACAAAATAGCTTCTCACCCTCACACAACCGAGACAAGGAACAGGTAATATCTGGAGGACACTAAGAGCAGGCAAAGAAAGAAAGGGACCAGGACTGCCTGGGAGCCAAGAAACACTGGACATAATCCACAGTGGACTGTGTCAACCCTTGTCAAGTAGCATGTCCTTTTCCTGATGTAGAGAATCTACTTTGCAAGATTTCTGATGTGAGAAAGCACAGGCTGTAAACAGAAATGGCAGAAGACTAATGTCAGGGAAGGAAAGATGCTGCAAAAATTAACCAGACTCAGAGACTGAAATACAGAGAGCCACATGTCATTTGTGAAAACTTACATATCAACGTAATGCTGATTAAAAAAAAAAAAAAGCAATGAGTAAAGAACATTAAGACGTACGGAAAGTACATTCACGATCTTTCATGTTGATAGCAAATGCAGTGTCAAGAAATACACTCAATGAACAAATATTAAAATCCCAAAGCAAAAGCTAACATGATGAAGTTTTGTGATACTTACCAACTTAGTGGCTGTGGAACTTCAACTTTCTGACCATCCACCTCCAAGTCCTCCAATTCCTTAAAATACTTGTTCTTCAAGCAATGGAGAATCTCTTTTGCATGGCTATTGAAAAATAAGCAAGCTTCATAATGATCTAAAAAGCTAATTTAATACATAACATCTTTACTTAAGACTGTAAATGCTTTAAAGCTAAAACCAACTTTGCATGAAGATATTCTTTAGTCACTGTCATCTGACTATATTCCTTTAAAATTTAAACAAGTCTCTTATTATTTAATCTTTAGAGAACTTCATCCTCTTTATCAGGTAAATAGGGCAGTTGCAGTAATGCATCCTTTCCCGCCTAAATATTTGCAGCTAATCTTGGAAATAAGTAACTACAGTGATGGAGACACGGCAAATGCGATGTCAGGTTGCACTGCCATTTCTTCTTATTCTGGCCTCACACATGCAATGTACACTTGAACTATGCCTATTTCCGCGGACCCTATGGTAGCGGCGGGAGTCCACCTCACTGCAAAGGAACGGGTAGGTGTCCAGCACTGCAGTACCTCCGGGAACAAACACCCCATTTCACTCCGGGCGCCAGCCAGACCCCTACCTCTTGTAACCAGTAATTCTCAGCGTGGCCGGGAGGGGCTCCCGGAGCGCGTCCATGAACTGGTCCCACTCGCCCTCGGGTACGATCTTCAGCTCCTGATAGTAGTGCTCGAACAGCTTGTTCTCCTTGACAATCTCGGGGTATCCCCCTTCCCAACCCTGAGAAGGAAAGGGACGTCTAACCAAGACCCGAGGTACCACCTGTCACAGGCGCCCCAGGCCTCCAAGTCTAGCGGCCCACGCGGTGTCCCCCGGACGGCCCGGCTCCTACCGCCTGGCTGCGTTTCCCGCCGCCCTCGGCTCCATCTACCGCACCCTCGGGACACTGCTGCTGCTGCTGCTGCTGCTGCTGCTGCTGCTGGAGCCTCCGTCCCCGTGCCCGCCGCCCCATGGCCCACGCGGTCGCGTACGCTGCGCGAATACACCGGCCCGCCACGGCCACGACGCTCGCGGGACTTCCGCCCGGAGTCCAAGGCCCCCGCGAGAGCCGGCCTGGTCCTTGCACAAGCCGTCGAGAAATATGCCCAAAACCCCATGATGCATTATCCAGGAAAAACGAGCATAAGAAAAACTCAGCCAACCTTAGGGAGAAGTATCTCTAGAAAGCGGCTGAAAAATCATCTCCGCGCGAAGCACCCCGCTTTCCACAGGGACTCAGGCAGCTCTGCGGACTGCCCGAAACCGACGCGTGCGCAGAACAGCGCAAGAGAGCTCGGGACGAGGCATAGACTGCCCGGGGGTGGGCGTGGCCAGGGAAAGGGTTGCGGAAGGCGCGTGGGCGTGGTCAGGGCGGGGCTCCGGGTGTCGAAACAGGCGGGGATTCTGGTTCCGCCCCCAGCAGGTGGCTCGCCCCACCCGTGGACCAGCGTTCGATGCCCGGGAGGAGCCAGCGGGATCGTTGGCACCGTGCGGGACTCTGGTAGCCGAGCCTCCCGCCCACTCACCGCCGCCCTATATGTGGCGGGCCGCGGCCGCCCGGGCATGGAGCGCGCCACCTGCCCTGGGCGATGGAGGTGGAGCTGGCGGAGCGGCGCCTGCTGGACGCACTCGCCTACCTGGAGTGCCTTCTGGGCTACCTGGGCTTGGTGATCCTCCCACGGACGGGCTCGCCCTACGGTCGCTACTCGCCGCATTGGTCCGGCCTGCGGGTGCCGGCCAGAGCCGCCTGGGTCCTGCAGGAGCTGCCCTCGCTGGTCTGGCCGCTATACGAGGGCGCCCGGCCATCCGCCCGGCGCCTCCACTGCTGGCCCAACCGCATTCTCCTGGCCATGTTCCTCGTCCACTACGTGCACCGGTAACGCCAGCACGGGCCCGGGTTTCATTTAAAAATGTAGGGGTCACTCTAGAAAGCCGCAGTGGCGGGACCGGGGTTGGGGGTGTGTTTGAAACTTTGATCTGGAAAGGGTCAGCCATACAGGATCCTTTTTTGTGCTCAGATGCACGACAGTTTTGGCCCCCAAGGTGTAACACTGGCCATCTCCAGTCACCTTAGTAGTTATGCTCTGCCCCTTCTCGACTGTTTCCATTTGGCGGTATCTTTGTTCCCTACATTTCCTCCTAGCTACGTAACCCAGCTGCAACCTGGGAACCCGTTCTCCCAAAATACTCTGGATTCCCCCAATATGGGTTTGACCGGTTTCAGACTTTAACAAACTCCACTGTTTGCAAAGGGTCCCAGGATGGCTTTCTAGGCAAAGACCTTAAACACAAGTAAGTCTTTAAAAGGTGACATATCCCCAGCCCTTACTTCATGCTTTTTAAAGAGGATTCCATTGAGCAAAGTTATTTGCAGACTGCTCAAAATTAGTGAAGTAATAGAGCATTACTGCAATTTAATATCAGTTGTACTCTGTCAATATATACCTCTCCATCAATATACCAGAACTGTGTCTGTCCGTTTTCTTTCTTTTTCTTGTCTTTTCTTGGAAGTACTGGGATTTGAACTTAGGGTCTTCCATTTGCCAGGCAGGTGTTCTACCACTTGAGCCACTCCCCCAGTGCCTTTTACTATCAATATTTTTCAAATAGGGTCTTACACTTATGCCTGGGCCAGCCTGGATCACGACCCTTCTAATTATGGTTCTGACTTAGCTGAGATGACAGGTACATGTCATCACACCCAGCTATTATTGGTTGAGACAGGGTCTCTCGAAATTTTTGTCCAGGTTGGCCTCAAATCTTGATCCTCCCAGTTTCTAACCCCTGAATACTAGGATTACACATGTGAGCCACTGTGCTGGGCTTTGACTGTTTCTCGAATGGATAAAAGCAAGTTCTGGAGTCAACTGCTACCTCCCACAACCTAAATAATAAACAGTGACCATTTGAGACCAGTCTGGGCAAAAAGTTCTCAAGACCCCACTCAACCAATAGCTGGATGCAGTGGTTTGCACCTGTCATCCCAGCTGCTCAGGAGGCTGAGATTGGGAGGATGGAGGTTCAAGTCTAGCCCAGGCAAAAAGTTTCCAAAACCCCATCTCAACAAAAAAGGTCTGGGGTGGTGGCATGCACGTGTCATCCCAGCTATGTTGGGAAGCATAAATAGATAGATGGATCATGGTCTAAACCAGTCAGGCATAAAGTGAAACCCTATCTCGAAAATAGCCACAGCAAAAAGAGCTGGAATCATGGCTCAAGTGGTAGAGCCCCTACCTGGCAATGCATGTGAAACCCTAAGTTTAAACCCTGATTCTCCCAAGTTTAATAAATTTGAGAGTAGCAGAGGCTTGCTACATGGTACCATATGTGTATCCAAAGAGGTAGCATAGGGAGGAGGAGTATATAAGATATTTTGTAACAATAATCCTTGTCTACAAGAGTGGCATTACTCCCAGGTTACACAGGGAATTGTTAGGGTTACATTCTTGCAGAAGTTGTGTGTATGATCCTGGCTGTTGTGCAAGGTTGTAGTGTAGTTCTAGAAGAGATTTCTGTGATGACTCATTATCTATCTGACATACCTGTACACAGTTCAACCCTTAACTTGTTGACTTTATTATTTTTTGTTGTTAGGACTTGACAAACATGATTCCATTTTCAGGGTAGCAACTTTCCCATTTCTACGTTTTTTTGATCAGGATCTTTCTCTGAAAGCATTGCTGATCACTCGTCTTGGAGATGGGTTTTGGTTGTTCCTGGGTGCCAGGATGGACCTGTCCAGTGGTTGGTCTTGTCCTGTGTTGGGGGGGAAGTGATTAGTTGCTAGGAATCAGGGTTAACAAGTTGCTACATGTTAGCCACATTTGAGCAGCAAAGCAGTTTAGAAGGTGTGTGTCTCAGTCTAAATTTTAACTAAGGTTGTCCTTAAGCCCAATATTTTTGTTTCATGGACATGGCTGTCATCTCTGAGTCTGGGTCACGTTATCGTGTGAGGAGCTGCACTTCTGCAGAAGTTTTTCAGGCAGCAGGCACAAAGTCCAAAAAGAAATAATACAGAACAAAATCACTCACAGCATAGGGAACTCAGTTTGCATAAACCCAGGCTTAAAGATGAGCAACTCATTGAATCATGTAACCAGTGGAAACTAGCAGAGACCACTGGACCTGTAACCACTGAACCTGTTCTCTTACTTTGTGGAGGTGGGTCTCAGTTTCCCCAGAGGTATTTATCCAGTACAACACATGGTATTAGCACTAGACATTTTATGTATCCACTAGATAATCAAGATCAATTTTATTGTTTAATATCCTGCAATTAGGTTGAATTAAGAGACTGTCACAAAAAGGACCACTAGAATAATTAGAATCAAAAGTTGTGTGGGGAGTGCTGCCAAAGTTACCCTCCAGACAAAATAAAGGATTTCTTTTGTGTGTGTGTGTGTGTGTGTGTGTGTGGACTGGGGTTTGAACTAAGGGTCTGCACCTTGATCCACTCTACCAGCCCTTTTTTGTCATGGGTGTTTTCCCAGATAGGATCTCATGAACTATTTGTGCAGGCTGGCCTCAAACTACCATCCTCCTGATTTCTGCCTCTTGAGTAGCTAGGATTTACAGATGTGAGTCCAGCTCAGAACAAAGGATTTCTCAGGCTCTGTCAAGTTACTTGAAGTAGGTATCAATTGTGAAATTTTAACTACACCTTTATGTTGTAATTAAGGAAAAATTCAGAGGAGCCAGAATCTCCTTGTGGTAAGGGAGTATTGTTCCGTCATCTTGAAAGTTTTGGGCAAAATGAGTTTAAACTTTAACAACTTTGGCTTGATTACTTATACAGGTGCAGCAGAAAAAGTGACTGGCAGTACTAAAATCTCAGATGCAGAAGCCTCTGGAGAGCACACACATGAAGTCTGATGTCTGGAGGTTCCTGGCTCTGGCTCAAACGCTAGGAACTCTAGAAGCCAGGCATTCTAGGCATATTCTCATATGTGGCATCCCAGTCAAAGGCAGGGTTTCCAGTTTTTATTCTGTTACAGACAAAGCGGGTTGTTATTGAACTTACGCAAATGATCATGTTGATGTAAAAAATAAAACGTAAATAGCTGCTGAATGAGGAATCAAGTAAAAGGAAAAAGTAAACATTTCTCTCTGTTCATGAAAGTATACTTTACCAAATTACTATAAACTGTAGGTAGCATAGGGAAATTTACTTAAATCTTGAAAACAAATGTATTTAAGCAAAAAGCAAGAATTATTTCAAACAAAGACATAAAAACCTGTAAATATTCATCAGTTCAACACATCTCATGTGATGAGTCCTTGTTCAGTTTGATCTTGGTTAGTAGGTTCATGAACCCCTTATTTCTTCTTTCTGCTCCTAGAACATTAACTTGTTATTGGTACCCTGTCTTCAAGAGTACTTTTTAGCTTTGCTGCTGGGAGTTGGGAGGCAGTGATGGCTCTAGACCCTCAGAGGGTAGTATTTGTTTTGGGGATTGACCTGGCTGGGAGTAAGGATGATGGGAGAAACTGGGGGAGGTGTGATGTGAAGCTTCTTTTAAAAGTTGTGGAAAAGGGGGTAGATGGTGGGGCTCAAAAGCTAGCCTCAGTATTTTCCAGTATAAACTTTCTTACGTAGGAACTGATAATCCAAAAAGCATTCTGTTTCTGCTTGCCTCATAACTGTGGTTAGTAGGACACAGCTAGCATGTTGACTGACTTAGACACAGAAACTTTTATTATAGCCTGTTAGAGTCCCGTCCCCTCCTTTTCTGCTTTCTTCCTTATGACAGGAGAAAATTCTGCTTTGGTTCTCTTAACTGGAAAAGAAAAAAAATCCTGTAATTCTTCCACAACTGAAACAAAGCTCCTGTTTTTTGTTTGGTTGGGAAAACTACCCCTGGCAGGCAGTGACTTCTTGGCTCTTTATCAATGATAAACTTGAGGCTTTCCTGCTCTTATTATTCAAGGTTCCTCTATCTTGAGCAAAACAGTGGTCTAACTTCTGAGATAAGGTCTTTGAAGATGGCGGTCCTTCTTGGCTTGCTTCTCTTGATCTTCTAAGCTTTCGAATATTGTCTCTGGCAATAATCCACTGAGTTATACAAAAGTGGGAGCTGGTGTTCTCTTGCAAAATTCCAAACTCACATTCCAAAGAATGTGAGCTTAAATCGGGCAGAGTCCCTTACAGCAAATTGGGAGAGCCACATGTCTCAGCTGATTAGAATAAGCCAATGTGTTGACTGGGCCAGCAGAGGGTCGTTGATGTAGGAGCCTTCAAGATGAGTCTTTTCCCTCATGACTGTTACTCAGATCCCCAGAATCCAGTCAGTGTCTAGGTAGAAACTGGACTAACTGGGGTTTCTGACAACTCGTACCTGACTAGCTGTTAGAAGCTCCTGGTTAGCAAGACTGAGATGCCACCCATCGCTACTTCACCTGGGTAGCCCACAGATGTGACTACTACATCTCCAGTGTCTTGATGAGCCTGACCTGTGTCCTCTGGGCTATCATTTGTCCACAACGAGTGCTTTCTCTGGCAGCTCCCAGGAACTGGCTTTTGAGTGCAGGCTTAGTGCAGGGTGGTAAAGACAAACCCAGGTACAGAAGAACCAGAATCAAACAGGCTGGAAAGAGCTCCAGAGAAGTTAATGAAGGCTGTATGCTCAAACAGGAGCTCAAGAGAATTAACACCCTGCTTGATATGGCTGGCCTAAAATGCAGAAGAGGCAGAGGTCAGGAGATGACTCAACCTGCTCAAGTGGGAAACCAAGTAAAAAGGTGACACTGCAGTCAAAACTGGGCGAGGCCAGCTGGTGTAGAGTCTGCCTGGCTGGAGCAGTTCTGAGCCTAGCAATAAGGCTTCAATGCAAACTCCTAAGGTAGCCTTTTGGAAGGTAGGCACAAGTGCTTCAGGAG